CTGGAAATGTCGCTGTTTTTAAATGTGTCTTCATGATAGACTGGATAAGGTGTTAACAGACCTGAAATCAGATTTTACCATAGACTGTATGGATTTTACGTGGCCAGAAAGACTGGACAGCAGAGCAGACGGGTGTCGTCCCGTAAAGTGATCATCCGCAGAAAACTGACTGCCGTCCGTGGCAGAGCGCACAGCATGTTAAAGCTGTATCGCCCAGTCTCTGTACGACTACAGCTGCATCTGGGTCAAACAGACATAACGTGCGAATAAACATCATTTTATGTCCGTGGTAATAGCAAAGGTATGTCTCTGTGATATCTTTTAACAGAATAATCACAATTGTGGCCAAATAAGTGTTTGCAGTTGATAGCGCAACCAGGCCGGACATTTACGTAATTATAGGCAATAATAGATATAGATAGATAATAATAGTATGTGTTTGGTAGGCCTATTTGTAATATTCTTTTTTATATTTGGAAAATGGAATGAAGACTATAACTAACATGACTTACTGCTGAGTTATATATAAAATAAAGACATGATCTCTTTTGCAATTGTCCTTACAATTTAACAGTCCTACATTATTTAACTTGCCGTGTACCAACCAATTCATTAATTTTACCTGTTAAAATTCCTTTAAATGGCAAATACAACCGATAACATGAAGTATTCCACTGCCAGAAAGTGATTGCAGCTTCTACTAATTGACTGAAAGGTAGTTTCTGCCTCAGAATTACTTGATTTCATTCAGAAGAGTTATAATTGACAGATTATAAAACCAAAATTGTCCCCCCTTTTTTATTTCATATATAATAACATTATATTTTTTAATGACATACTGACCACCAAACCAAAAATGTCCCCGGTTTTCATTTTCAGAAATCTGGTCACCTTACTGTATACGAATATATTGCAGTCAAAACGCCTCAGGACAAACCCAACCCTTTTGCTCAAGTTGAAACTGTCAACTTCTCAACTTACACGGTCACCTCCCCTGTTCACCTCAATATGTGTTGCCCACGGTGAATTATTATCCTCTCACATCTTTTACTCTGTTCAAGATCTTAGCCATGCTATTACTACTAAAATAATTAGAATAAAAAGACAAATCAATATCTTATTCCAGGCAGTTTTCCTCAACAGGGTATATACGATAAAAGACGCACGTAGCCTAATGACGAAATTAAAGGGAAGCAGCTCGCACAAAGATTTTAAAGATTACAGGGCAGAAATGTAAAAATGATACGGTCTAATATCCCACCATGGATGGATGGGGGTAGGTGGTTGTGTGTGTGTGTGTGTGTGTGTGTGTGTGGCAGCAGCATAATGATTGGTATGTGAGTGAGGTTGTCAGAGCAGAGGATTTTTTTTTAAATGTGTGTGTCTGTGTGGATTGTGTGAGGAGTGTGAGTGAATGTGTGTGTGTGTTGCTATCCATGGGGGATATAGCCAGTGGATCGCTCGCAGCATCTCTAGTCCCAACGTCCCTGCGGACATGTGTATGTGTGTGTGTGTGTGTGTGTGTGTGTGTGTGTAGTGTTCAGTAGATTGGACTGCAGAGTGAATGGGCTCATTAGCGGTAGCAGAGTAACACATGGCCTGGGGCACACACAGACACACAGCACACTCTCACTCTCTCTCTCTTACACACACACACACACACAGTCACACTCTAGACTTGCATACTAATGCTTTCAGACTGTGAACACAACTAGCCTCATTTATAAAAGATTCTTATATTCGTATGCACCAGTCTGGGCTTTACAACACATTCCAAGCAAAAGATGAACTTATGCAAAATTGATCTCGAAGCCAAAATCAACTGTTTACATGAATTATCTCCAATGTTCTGTGATGTTACAAATGCAACATTTTTTTACTAATGATTAATTAGGTGACATGTTCCCTCAAGATGTCACAGGAAGACAATAATGTACCACAATGTGTAGCCCACACAGAATGTAACCATGGAAAATGGAAAAAGACTTTATTACGCTCAGAAATTACAAAGTAGAAGGGAAGTTATTATGGACTGTTGTTCATCTACATTGTCTCCTGTCTGTTAGAATTACCTCAGTCTAAATTACAAATTGGGAGCTGCAGGACGATGCTCTAAGCATTTCTAGGTCATGATGTGAAGACACTGCCAACCAATACAGTGAATGAAACTCTTCCAACAGTCACTACTGTAGCTCCGGCCCCCCTGCTGGAATGATTGACAAGGACGGAGTCTTCTGCCTCAGATCCCACTTTGAAATGAGCAAAGCAGGGGAAAGATAAGCTTTCATTGATCCTGAAATTTGTAAATATTTTCTGCTCTGTCACTGACAGCCAGATGTGGTCAATTATTTTACGTTCACTATCAAATAGAGTCAAGATAGTTATATTTTGATTTTAAATTATGGAATAAGATACATACACCACTACAGTGCACAGTGTAAGTGTCTTTGGTTTTGTCTTTGCTATGGACAGCCAAACTTTAAAGGTGCCTCAGAATGCTCATTTTCACATTCATACTTTAGGGTTTCTACTAGAAATTATGCTTTAATGTTCAAAAAACACATTATATTTCTCATACTGTCCACTGCTTCAGCACCTCTTTTAACCCTCTGTTTTAGCTCCTGTATCTTTAAGACCCCCCTCTCCGAAAGCCCACTTGCTTCTGTTTGGCCAAGAGTGGCCTGGATTAGCGACACCGCGCTGAATCAAGGCCTCACTGATTACTGTACAAAAACACAACTTTATTCACTGATTTTACTGATGGAGAAAATATTGTCTGATTTTCCCTCTGATGTCCTCCAGCTGCTCTGCCTCCACTTTTGCCGATTTACGGAGTTTATGTTACTGGTTACTTTAACTACTGCTAACAGCAGCGGCTACTATGTTAGCTACTGAGTTAGCTGTAGAACTAGCTGTCCTATTACTGATTCTGCCCTGACTGGAAGCTTGGTGCTCCGGGGTTGTGTTTGTGTTTACACCTCTAAAATTACTTCAGAAGCTTTGGACCACTGGTTCAGAGCCAGCTGATAAAGAGAGCTACTGTTAGCAACAAGTAAAGCTATATGTCCATCAGGAAACTTTATAAATCACAGAGTTGAGGCAGAGCAGCCAGAGGACATCAGAGGGAAAACCAGAAAATATTTACCTTCCCTTCATAAGCATAAAAGCACTTTCTGTAAGATATGCTGCACTGCACTGTACAACCTCCAGCTGTGGCTCTGTGAACTTCTCGATGACCGCTTCTCTGGAATGTGGGCGATTCTATGTAAAGCTTTGAATATACTCTGGAGCGGACGCATACACCACGGACACCACAGACACGGACTACTTCTGTTTGTACTACTTTCTGGAGTAAAACATGGGAAGCACGCAGACGTCCGCACAGAGCCTACATGTGCCCCCTCTGATGACGAATTTTTTTGTCACACGCACCATAGCGGACCCTCGTGTACTCGTGGAAGTATAATCCTTGCTTAACTTTGGGGAGCGTAAACATCCCAGATGTTACGTAAAATCTAGCGCTTGTTAGCACGTTTTTCGGGGGTATTTTGGGTGAGTAAGATTTACATATGAAGGAGAAAACACTGGAGAGTGAGTCTCACGGTATGTCAGTTACATGCACTTAACTCTTTTTATTCAACTATGCCAATGAAAATACAGTTTTCCATTCTACAGCACCTTTAAGTGAACCGTGTGAATTGCACTTCATACACAATATGAGCAGTGGTTAAAGAAGTGCTTTTAAACTGCTCAAGTCAAGTCAAGTTTTAGCAACAGCTGTTTCAGGAAAAAAGCTCTGATTAACTCACTGTACACCTGCTCAAAAGCAAAAGGCAGGCAAGACAAAGATAGTGACTAGTGGGTGAACGTAGCATTTAGAAGCTAAAGAGACAGATATATTTCCCTGAGGGGTTGGTGGAGACACCAATAACAGAGCTAAAAGGAGAATGAATATTAGACTTATAGTGGCCAGAAACACCACTCCACAGTTTGCCCTATCAACTTTCCAAGGTAATACTACGTCAATGTTAAAAAGCCGGAAAAGAGGTAATGACACATTTTTCATTACAAGTAATGTTTTTGCAAATTGAGCTTGAAAGTACGCACATATTATCTGTAACATATCTTAAAAGTATCAAAAGTAAGAGTAATAATTATTCAGTATTACACTAATACATATATTATTACTTTTTATTTTTATAGAAATGAAATATAGTGGAGTCAAAAAAGCATAAAAGTAAAGTATAAGTGCCTCCAAATTACAATAAGAACAATGTTTTATCTCAAAACAATATTAAAGGTTAAAGGCTTTGACACACATCAAGTTTGATAAAAACACAATATTACAGCCAGGACAAAGCTTTGGATTTCAAAGACAAATTGCCTTATATGTTCACCGTATGTATGTTTTGGATGACTGTCAATGGTTAAATGGTTAAAAGAGGTCTAAAGAAATCTTACTCAGTGACCTTCTATCATGTATACTTGTATGATGACAAAAAGGATGTTATGTTTCATCCTTTGAACCATAATCCCAGGTGAGCGTGCAGAAGCCCTGTTCAGATGTGGAAAGATTAATGTACTAACCTACAAATAGTGTGTATAGAGGACATCTGCTGCCTAATTTCATATGGTACAGAGTTGAGTGTGTGAGTCCAGGCTGGTGACTGGGGTTATCAAGTGGGCACCTGTCGTCACAGATGCTTCTGTGAATTAGAGCCTCACCTGCAGAAAGCTTAACAGTGGTTGTATTTGCAATAACCTTCAAACGTTACTAATCCTAGAAAGAATCTTTGATCCGCACACAAACACTTCAACAGCACCAGGTAACCTTAGCCTCTTCATCTTTTAGATTTAAGGTGATATTGACTAAAATAATAGATCTGTATACACAGCTGGGATATACAAAATGTTAACACATTTGCTACCTTTTCTTGTACCACAATAGATATGCAATTGAGATAAATAAATCACATGTTACAACACAGAGTTTGTCTTACCTTACGGCTGTGCCTCTGGCTTTGGGCTTGTCAGACACCTGTCAATACACATACACAGAAACGTTATATTAATATATGCAGTGTAAAATTAAAGTGCAATTTTATTTTTGCTTTGACTGAGCTCAAATGCCAATGATTAAAGGATGCAGAACACATTTTCGCAGACAGGATTTTGCCCTGATCTGTTTCCATAGATTGTGATTGTTTCTGTAGATTGTGGTATAATGAATCTGTCTGTGAGACAACGGCGTAAATGACAAAAATCACGGATGTTGGAGCTTCTTGTCTGACTGGTCCTGTTTATGTTATATTGCGAATGTGAGGCTGTTTGATGAAGCCATGATAGACACCGAAGGTGATGAAACAAAGATCTGCGTTTCTTGATCCTCTAATAGTTTCATTTGCTAAATCTCTTGACAGTTTACAATATCAATTAATTGATTAGCTTATTAGCATGATACGATTAATCAGGATTACATTACATTAGGTAGACCAACTATAACTACTTTGTCAATGCCAAATCTTCATGTTATTAACCATTAATATTAAAAATAAAAATGTATATGTACCAGTGAAACTATTTTCTTCTACTGCTACTAATATTATTAATACGCGGCTATACGCTCCTGTGTCTTTATTCAAGAGTGTGGTCTTTCAATGACTTATTGATTTCACATTCAGATGTTGCTTTCCCTTAAACCCCTGCCCTTGCAGTCAGACAGCCCCTGCTTGTGTTTACATTTGTTCTGCCTCTGCTCAAACTGTGTCTATTTGTGTGTGCTTGCACTCAGATATATTTTTGCTTGCACAGATTTCCTGGTCTCCAGCTTCAGCTCTTCTGCTGACGCTCAGGCTGCATCTGTGCGCTCGTGAAAAGTTTGCTCTCAGATTTCTGTTCTGCGCTCAGATTTTTTGTGCAGTAGCCTCCAGCCAGGTGTAGTGTTGACCAATGAAATGATCCCTGACTTGCTGAGGTGCCCCTTTCGGGCGGTTACTCCCAGGTTCATCCCCTCTCACCCTTCACGGCTTTATTATACCCTTGCTTTCTTTACAACTTTTGAAATATATGATATACCAGTGCCCATACTTTGTACATTTTTTGATCTCCTTACATTTTATATATTTCTATTTCTATTTATGTTCATGTGTACTGTAAGCACCAATTTATACCTAGGCAAATTCCTCATATGTAAAAATGTACCTGGCAATAATCTGATTCTGATTCTACTTTTTACTATAATAGCTACATACTGTATAATACTAGCTTTTTACTTTAAACTTCCTTCAAGTTGAATTGATCCGTGACAAAATTGGCTTTTAAGTGTTACGGTATGGGAACACTGTTGCTAGGCAACTAACAACAGTGTTCCAGTATATTTTGAGGATGAAGTCGTAATTTTTCAAGAAAAGGGTAAAAAAAAAAAGAAAAGTTATTTTTCCAGAAAATAATTTTGATTTTGAGACTAAATTAAATGTTTTTTTGAGAAAAAAGTAAAATGAAACAAAGCCTTAATATTTAGAGAAAAAAAGTCTCTTCTTACCAAGGTTAGTTAAGTACTTTACACGGAATAAAAACTGCAATATAAATCATAGACCGTACTAATTGATACAACTTGAAGACACTACCCAGCTTTTCCTTTTCACTCGCTTAAACCTCAACCCTTCTGAAGCTCACTTGTCCTCCCTCAATCTGCTCTTTTTCTCTTCCTCTCTTATTTCTTTATGAGAAGTGGGTTTCCTTTCATTCAAATGAGAGAAAAACCTCTCTATTTTCTCTTTATCTACTCTTCCTTTATCCCCTTCTTCGCTTGTTTCCTCCCTGCCCCTCCGTCTTCACCCCAGCCTCTGTTCATTTCTATTCATACTTCCCCTCCTTTCAGTAAAAGAATGGGGTGATTAAGTTTGCTAGTGAAGCCTTTCCTCCCTCCCATTCTCCCCTCTCATCCTCTTTTCCTCCCTCTGTCAGCTCCGAGTCAATTTTGTACATGACTACATCAATTACAATAACAAAACAAAAACAGTAAACTCAATTTCTGAAAATTTCAGCAATTAATTCATCTTCAAGCACTGAACCCCTACAATTACGATGAATTACTCAAACAAAAACAGGACCTTTTCCTCGCCTCTGGCTTGTTGTTTCTATCTCTCTCTCTTCAGAAATAAGGTGATTAACTGGACCAGTGAAGTTTCTGATAGATCGATGCATAGCTGCAGGCTGGAACAACAAACCTCCTCAGATCTTTGGCTTTGGAAGACTTGCAGGGCTCATGGAGAGGATCTATGTGTGAGTATATATTTAGCCAGCTGGTGGCTTTACTTGGATTTAAATAAAGAACAACCTAACCTGTATTTATTCACACAATCTCCTCTGTTACAACACGGCTGTAAGTATTGTTCCTGACAAAGACGACAAGCCTTTTGACCCAAAGCCAATCCGAACCTTAAAGCTTTAGAAAGCACTCTTTATATGACTTGTGTTTATTTGTAAGATCTCCATATACTTTTCTCCATTCTTTCTCTTGTGGGTGCAAGACGTCACAGTGTTTCACATCAGGCCTGGTTATACAGTTTTAACAAGGCTTTAAACACCCCCGCACCATCTTGAACAGTGGCTGAACAATTCATTCTATGCTTGTCTATACGCTGTCGCTTTACTTTGCGTGAGAGACTTTATAAAGCATTTCTAACACCTGAACACCGGTGTTCAAAATCCTGGATTACTGATGCAACTCTTGCACAGAGGTTGCACTGCTGATAAACAGCAGCTACTGGATTTTCACAAGTGCAAACAAAGAGGCTCTATATCCCGAATTTTACCATCTTTCCATCGGTTGCCAGTTGGATTTAATTCAGCTAGCTCACTGAAGACTTTTATATTGCCATTTACATCTGGCTGTGAACAGAAATAATATTAGCCTTTAGAATGGTATGCACGTCTTTCATCTTTTAGAGCCAAATTACATATTCATAAATGATTAGATATAAAAAGTGTTTTAATTTCTCACATGTCAACCAAGATTTCTCTATTTACTCGCCTGCCTTTAAACTCAAATAGTCACTTTCGCCCCTTCCATATACTCGATTGATCGAGTATACTTCCATTGATCTATGCTTTTCTGTACCCTACACGCACTTGTGTTTGCTGTACTTTGTGCTGACCGTCTAGTTTGCTCTGACCATCTGTCACAAGTTTTCCCTGTTTCAAGGTCAATTAGTTGCCTCTGCACTCTGCTTTTTTTGTCCGGATCCGTTCTGCTGCAAATTCTCTAGTAGACTGTGTACAACCTGCTGTTCTCTGTTTGACATAACACAACCTGAGAGCCCAGTGATCTGAGACGCAATGCTAGACTGGTCATTACCACAACAATAATGAAACGATAAGATAGCTATCCAGCATTGTAGCAGCCTTCCAGCAGCTGCTGATTATACAGACAATATAGCAAACTGCATGATAAGCACAACATCAAAAATATAAATAAATCAAAGCATAATTATTCCAACTTCTTTAATTAGGGTGGTGCATCACTTTGACCCTTACCCTGGTGTCCTGGACTCCTCCACACATGCTTCACTTTCACAGATTTTCCTTATTTAAGAAACGTTCGCAACTGCACATTTAAACCAACTCAAACTGTGATTTGAGGTCAATTGTAACTACATGCTTTAGTTGCATAATGGTAAGTTGCCATTGGTTAAAAGTCTGAGTTTATGACCATTTTCATGCAGATTCCACATGTCCACTTTACATTCAGTGTTTCTCCCCCAGGCATCCTTAAGGCTTAATAAATATGATAAAAGTATTTTCTTCCACATAAAACACATCGACAAATCAGACCTTTTGATCATATTTTGGTCCTGCATTGTTTACATCTATGTTTGCAAGCTAACAGTCTACTTGATTTATTTTTCCTGATGTGTTACCGCCACAAACGATTCATCAATGGAATACCTTTCACTACATTGTCACATTTTGCGGTCCTACATCAAGGATACAGATATATGCCCCGACTCGCCAAAATTAAGATTCACTCCACTATTGTCAAAGGAAATTATTGCATTTTTATGAAATTTAATATGTAAGTAGTACATAATAGTAACATATTGTAATAAGTGTCAGGGACAACGAGCAGTGGCACTACATCATATCACAAAGGCCTCATGTGCTCTGTGCTTTTCCTACTATGAGGAGTCAAAATATTTGATGTAAAGGACGATAGAGTTTGCATTAAGTTAGAGTTAGTTGAAAGTTGGTAGTGACCAAATGGTTTTATATCATCAATGGCTTTGGTTAGACGTGATTGGCTGCGCACAGCACTTAGCACCTCTGCTAATGCGTTTCCTAAGGCAAACCCTGAATGCTATTATGTTTATTAGCTATAACTGCTTTTACCCAAGACATTTGTCTCAAAGCTACACAGCTGAAAACAGATCTCCTGTGACATTTTTTCAAGTTTATTGTTGTATGACATGTACAACAGTAAATATACTGCACACGTATGGAAAGCTGTCTAAATATATTCACATCTAGCTGACTGTGCCACAGTGTTTAGTGGACATGGCCTTGTTCCCCAGTGTGCTAGACATTTTCACCAGCTGCAACTGTATTTTTATATAAAGAGAGAGCTTTTAAGCTTGACTTTGCTCTGACCGAGGTGATCTGTCATCACAAGCTCGCAGAGAGAAACGAGAGAAATGCAGGGAGATAGAGAGACAGTCCTGCAGAGGTAAAATGGGTTGCTGTTTGTCAGTTTCTAAAGTCATTAGGAACATCTCTCTCTCTTTCCTATCTCTCGTTTCCTTTTCTCTTTTCCCTCTTTCTTCCATCCCTCCTTCCTCTGCTCTTTCAATTCCCTCCTCTCCTCTGTCTCTTTGCTCTGTGCCAAAAACATATTCATCATACTCCTCTGTTGCCCTCACAGCGCTGTGCCACAGCATACTAATGACAGTGTGTGTCTGTGTCTGTGTGTGTGTGTGTGTGTGAGAGAGAGAGAGACTGTCAGCATGTGTTTTTATTTATGTGTTTGCTGGCGTAAATGCT